AGCATAGATCATATTGGGCAATGAAGAGTAATAACATGACACTTAAGCAGGCCAAAAAAGAAAGAAAGCTTCAACTTTAGGAGCTTGATGAGCTATGCTTGCAAGCCTATGAGAACTCTAGGATGTATAAAGAAAACGTCAAAAAATTCTATCATACAAAAATTCTAAGGAAAGAGTTCTCTATGGGATAGAAAGTGTTATTGTTTAATTCTCGTTTAAAACTGATTGCAGGTAAGCTTCGATCTAGATGGGATGGACCTTTTGTGATTACTAATATTTTTTCGCATGGTGCAGTTGAAATTAAGGATGAAGCCACTAACAGAGTTTTTAAAGTTAATGGTCACCAGCTGAAACTATTCCAGGAAAGCTAACCTATGGAGAAGGCTCAAAATATAGATGATGTATCTTTAGTGGAGCCTATTCTGATGGAGGAAGTGTCTACATAGGCACTTAGGGCATTCTTTTCTCATACCCTTATTTTTTTTTCATTATACTTTCCTTTAATTTATGATTCTGCTACGATATGTATACATTGAAACTTTTATGATCAAACTTTTGAAAGAGCAATTAGAATAAGTTTCATAATTATAAATCATTTATGCATTATTTATTTTTCTTTTTTATTACAGTTATCATTCTTTTTTTAATGTGTTTTGAATAAAAAAAATAAGCTTACATCCCCTTCTCCTCTTCTCTCTCTCTCTCTATATATATATATATATATATATTATATTATATTATATTATGTATGCAAATTTGATTTTATTAATTGATATTCCAAAGATCCTAATCAAAAGATTGATAAATAGAAAATATTAAATAAAAACCATACTAAATAGAAGAACATTGAAAATTATAATGAAAATATATTAAAAATACTTTTAATATTTTTTAATTTTTTGACTAGAGTTCAAAGATACTAATTAGTACTTCTCAAAACTATAATCCGTAACTTACTATAATATTCTCTTATATAGTATGTATTTTATTATTTTTAAAAAATAGATTTATCATCTTTAAAAAAATAGACCTTATATATAATTTTAAAAAAATATCTTATAATTTGATTTAGGCCTCCATGTTGCACCAACCTGTTTAATTGTCGCATAATTATTTTAAAATTTCACATGACTGATCAAGATCCATTTTCTTCTTACACTCACGTTAAAAATAACTTTTATTTAAATGAAATTGATTTATTATGTGAATTAAAGTAACAAATATTATTAACATGTTAAGATGGAAATTTTACATAAATTTTTTTAAGTACAGTAGAAACTCTTTAAATTAATAAACTCTCTAAAATAATAAATTTATCCGGTCCCGACTTGGGCTAATATAAAAAATTGAAAAACTTGATAAAATAATAAGATAATAATTTTTCGGGAGATCCCTTTATAATTTTCGGTCCCAAAGAAAATCATAAATTAATAATTCATAGAAACTGAAAAAAAAATATTACACTCTATTTAAATATGATTCAATAGTTGTCTGTTTTCCTTTAAAGTTCAAGTCTATTTGGAGCTCATCTCTAACTTTTCTTATTGCATCCAATAGCTCAGGTGTTGTATTTTTGTATTGTATCATAAAGTTGTGAAGAATGTTCGACGCCATAAGTGCTTCCTTTCGCGTAACAGGCTCCAAAGACACTGTATGTCATCCTCTGCATTGTTCTTAATGATAGTACCCACAATATCTTCTAAACTCTGAACCTCCGAATATGCTTCATTTTCACCTGGGTAGTTCATTAGATTGTCGATATCCATCTTATTACGATAGCCACATTGATTGATCATAGTCTCGAGATCTTAAGTTTCTTCATCAAAAGTGGATTCATCCAAATTTCTTGCAACGTCACTATCTGAACGAATTTTACAGTGTCGGAAGCAATTCGCTATTGTTTCTTTTCGAACATCTATCGTCCAAGCTGGGATTGCCAAATTGATAGCATCAAGGACATTTATCTTCCCTGGATCAGATTGTCTCACCTCATAACCTTCCAATATTTTGCGGTAAAACTTTCTACGGTAATGCATCTTGAAAGCTCTTATTATCCTAGCATCGCAAGGTTGAATCTTTGATGTCATGTTGGGTGGCAAGAAGAACAACTCAATGTTTCTTAGCCCTTCAATATTTCTTGGATGTGCTGGACAATTATCCACCACAAGTAGAACTCTTCTACCATGCATCATTTGGTCAAATGAACGAACATATTCATCAAAAAGCACACTAGTCATCAATGTTTTTTTGTTAGCTCGATACTGACAATTCAAGCTATTCATGTTGACATTCTTGAAGCAATGAGGCCTTGCATATTTCCCAATAATCCATAGAGGGATTTTTTCAGAGCAATCTTCATTTCAACAAATAACTACCGTCAGCCTTTTTTTATCTTGTTTTCTTCCTTCAAGTTGTTTTGTTGCCAGTGAATGATCAGCTTGTAGCCTATAAAACAACTCAGTTTCATCCATATTGAAAACATCTTTCATAGGGAACTGATCAATTTTCTCCCGAATCGATACCAATTTCTGCTCCATGTCTTGTATATCAACAGACCCACTCTCGCCAAAACGACGAAATGACTTTATGCCATGTCGATGCTTGAATTTCCCAAGCCATCCTATAGAGAAGTTAAAATCTGAATCATCATGAGGGTACACGAGTTTCATTGTATCTCTTGCCTTCTGCAAAATTAATTTTCCTGTGATATTCACACGTTCTTGATGCTGGAGAAACCACTCATAAACAACCTTCTCTATGTCAGGATATTTTGTTGGTTTGTGTCTTTTGATCTCTGCTCTTCCCTTTTCTATTTTAACAGAGAAATAGTCATCTGACCGCTTAGGTGTGTTTGATATTATTCTTTGACTAACTTTCAACTGAAATTTTCCCTCAAGCCATCTCTGCAAGTCTTTTTGTGTGCTTGCAGGATTATCTCTCTTATACTCACACAACTCCTTACGTATTTGATTTGACATAGTTAATTTTGCAACACCTTTTAGATGAGAAGCCATCTTGTGAGATATGGTTTGAATACTCTAACACATTCATGTAATTTATATATGCCAAACTTGCTTAAGAATACATTGAACACATTTGTTCCTCTTGTTTACATTTACTGTACTTCAAAAGTCATTATTGATTTCCAATGCATATGTAATATAGTTACTAATTTACTGTACGTTGAGTTCCAAGGTTTGCTGCAACGTAATTCTAAGAGGCATAGATTAATTTGCCTTTTTATTTGGTATGTACAGTATAATTACTTAAAAACTCTTTAAATTAATAATTATTAATTTATCGATAAATTAATAACTCTCTAAATTAATAAATTTCTCCGATCTTGACATTATTAATTTAAAGAGTTTCTACTGTATATGTGTGTGAGTATTTGATTTAAAGTGATTAGTTATATAAAAATTATTATAATTAATTTTATGATTTTATTACTATATTCTTCTAAAATATTATTATCCCATTGATAAATAAAGCTAATAATACTACTAGATATACCATTTTTTTGTTGTTGCTATAATAACATTATTCAATATAAATTTATATTAATTAATTTGTACTTAAATTACTATCATCATCGTCGCTATAAAATAATATGTTCTTATTTAAAGTTTTAAGAACTTCATGCAAGGAACATATATTATCAACTTATGATTCTCAACCTAAGTCGTAATAATATTAATTAATAATAATTCAGATAAAATTGTTTCATGAAGTATTTGAGTACATTTTCCTTTATTAATAAATAATTTGCGTTAAATATGAAATAGTTTGTAAATATTTTTCGTCGTACAACAACTATACATACATGCTTATCAATATCTAAAATATGAAAATATGTATTTATAATGAATTATCATTTAAGCATTTAACAAACCCATGTGAGGCATGGGTCAATAAACATTTGATTTTATGTTAAATTGAATTATTTTATTAAGTGTTTATTTACACTTACCTTCATCAAGAAATAATTTTTAGGTTAAATATGTTTAGCTCTTAAAGTATGGTATATATCTTCTATTAAATGTTACACAGGGAATAAAAACTTACATGAAAGTTTATCAATATTTAATTACGGGGATGAATACTCATATCATGTAAGAATGAAATTTTTGTCTAAAATTATATTAATATATAACTTGTACAATACAATTATACAAAAAAAAGATATTATAAATGAATTAATAATAACTCGTTTTTAATAAATTAAATTTATATGTACTTTCGTTACAAAAAAATATTTAATAAAATTATGTAGATTAAAAAAATTAAAACTTTTTGAAGCATTCATTCAGAAGAATACAAAATTAATATTGTTATGTCAGAAGCGACACAATGTACGGGTGAAAACATGAGTAGTTTATATAATATAAAGAGACACTAAGCCTTCATCATTAAAGACACTGCCATAAAATTGGCAACAAGATCCTAAGAATAGCATATCGTAGAATGGACTTGGTCTGCCACCGTAAACCTATCTTCTTCTCCACCAACTTTTTGTTCCTTGACAAATCTCTCATTTTCATTCAAAACTCTAGCTTTTCTCTAACCCTTTTCTTCTGCTACCATCAATAATTATAAAAATAAAAATCTAACAAAATAAAAGCTTAAATCACAGTGTGTATGTGTGCGCGCGAATGTAAATATATGGAGAGAGAGAGAGAGAGTCAAGACACAACCCATCACAAACACAGTACTATAAAATCGGAAATGAGACCCCTTAAAATAGTATCGTAGGATGGACTTGGTCTCACACCATAAATCTATCTTCTCCGCCAACATTCTATACTTTGAGAAATATCCAATCGTCAACAGAAATTATTTTCTTCTACCATGAATAATATGAACTTTCATTCTCTTGATGCATTCTAGTTCTAGCTTCTAATAGATGTTGCCTAAGGTAAATGAAAATGGTATACAGAAAATGTAGGTATGTTAATTGAAAGAAGAACAATTCACAGGTGTAGGTGTAGGAATTAGAAATAATGGCGTCCTTAACGAACCAACCATCGAAGAAGGCTTTGCGTAATCCCGGAGGATCAGGTAGTTCTCAAGGAGTAAATAGCTCTGGTGGGCCAAGTGTGAAGTTTGCGAGAAGAACTTCAAGTGGGAGATATGTGAGTCTTTCGAGAGATGATATAGACACGTCTTCAGACTTATCTGGGGACTATATGAACTACACTGTTCATATTCCCCCTACCCCAGACAATCAACCCATGGACACGTCCGTTGCAATGAAAGCTGAAGAACAATACGTTTCCAATTCTTTATTTACCGGTGGATTCAACAGCGTTACCAGAGCCCATCTAATGGATAAGGTCATTGATTCTGAAGTCACTCATCCTCAAATGGCCGGTGCCAAAGGCTCTGCATGTTCCATTTGTGATGGCAAGGTCATGAGGGATGAAAGAGGACGTGATGTGACTCCATGTGAGTGTAGGTGAGTATACATGCATGTATTTGTATGTGCGTACATATAGATGCACAAATTCATGGTACTGAGTTATAACATAATTGAATTTAGGTTCAAGATTTGTAGAGATTGCTTTATAGATGCACAGAAGGAAAATGGTCTGTGCCCCGGTTGCAAGGAGCCATACAGGGTAGGGGAATATGAGGATGACACCCAAGATTATCCTAACAACGGGGCATTGCCATTACCAGCACCAAATGGTAAAGGGAATTCAAACATGTCAGTTATGAAGAGAAATCAAAATGGAGAATTTGACCATAACAAGTGGTTGTTCGAGACACAAGGTACCTACGGTGTTGGTAATGCGTATTGGCCCCAAGATGAGATGTTCGGTGATGATGATGATGCCCTACACGGAGCATTGTTAGATTCGGAGAAGCCGTGGAAGCCTTTAAGCCGAGTAACGCCAATTCCATCGGGCATCATGAGTCCTTACAGGTCCATAGTTTAGTTTGTGATTACAACAATTAATTACATTACATGATTAACTCTACACGTCAATTTGCAGGTTGCTTATTTTTGTTCGACTAGTAGTGTTGGCCTTCTTTTTACACTGGAGAGTAACAAATCCCAATGCAGATGCAATATGGTTGTGGCTTATGTCTATTATTTGTGAGATATGGTTTGCATTCTCATGGATTCTTGATCAAATGCCCAAGCTTTGCCCTGTGAATCGTTCAACTGACCTTGCAGTCCTTTATGAAAAATTTGATGGTGCATCCCCATCAAATCCAACAGGGAGATCTGATCTGCCCAGCGTGGACATGTTTGTGTCCACTGCCGATCCTGAGAAGGAACCACCTCTGGTCACTGCTAATACCATTCTTTCCATATTAGCAGCTGATTACCCTGTGGAGAAGCTTTCATGTTACATTTCGGATGATGGAGGTGCTCTCCTAACTTTTGAAGCCATGGCTGAGGCTGCAAGTTTTGCTGATTTATGGGTTCCCTTCTGTCGTAAACACAACATTGAACCCAGAAATCCAGAGTCATACTTCAGCTTAAAAGTTGATCCCACCAAGAACAAAAGTAGAACGGATTTTGTTAAGGATAGAAGGAAGGTGAAGAGGGAGTACGACGAGTTCAAGGTACGCATAAATGGCCTTCCAGATTCCATCAGGAGAAGATCTGATGCATTTAATGCGAGAGAGGAAATGAAGATGATGAAGCATATGAAGGAGAGCGGTGCTGACGCTTCTGAGACTGTCAAAGTTTTGAAGGCCACATGGATGGCTGATGGCACCCACTGGCCTGGTACTTGGGCTTCACCTTCTAGCGAACACTCTCGAGGTGATCATGCTGGAATCCTTCAGGTACCCCATTCATCATATTCATAATTCAATTTCATTTGAGTAACTAGCTAGTTATATCTATAACTCAAATTGAGGTGATACTGAATAGGTGATGCTAAAGCCGCCTAGTCCCGATCCGTTAATGGGAAATGCAGATGAGAAGATAATAGACTTAACAGAGGTGGATACGCGGTTGCCAATGTTTGTATACGTTTCTCGAGAGAAGCGGCCAGGTTATGACCACAACAAGAAAGCCGGTGCCATGAATGCATTAGTTCGAGCATCAGCAATTTTGTCGAATGGCCCATTCATTCTCAACCTTGACTGTGATCACTATATCTACAATTGCAAGGCAATAAAGGAAGGGATGTGCTTCATGATGGACAGAGGTGGCGAGGACATATGCTATATTCAGTTCCCACAAAGATTCGAAGGTATTGATCCATCAGATCGCTACGCCAATCACAACACTGTATTCTTTGATGGAAACATGCGAGCCCTTGATGGTGTTCAAGGTCCAATGTACGTGGGAACTGGATGCATGTTTAGGAGGTTTGCTCTATATGGATTCGACCCACCCTTGGTGGAAAAGGACAAGGACAAGAAAAATCCTGAAAAGAGTAGCGACGGCGAAGAAGGGTCTAAAACCCCAGCCATGAATGCCAGCGAGTTTGATCCAAATCTTGACATAAACTTGATGCCAAAGCGCTTTGGTAATTCAACGATGCTAGCTGAGAGCATACCCATTGCTGAGTTCCAAGGGCGCCCCTTAGCGGATCATCCTGCAGTCAAGTATGGACGTCCAGCTGGTGCTCTTAGGGTCCCTCGTGAGCCACTTGATGCGAGTACCGTTGCTGAAGCAGTATCTGTGATTTCTTGTTGGTACGAAGACAAGACAGAATGGGGAGACAGAGTGGGGTGGATTTACGGCTCTGTGACAGAAGATGTGGTTACAGGGTACCGCATGCACAACCGTGGATGGCGTTCAGTGTATTGCATAACCAAGCGAGATGCATTTCGTGGATCAGCACCAATCAACCTCACCGATCGACTGCACCAGGTGCTGAGATGGGCCACTGGTTCTGTGGAAATATTCTTCTCCAAGAACAACGCATTCCTTGCCAGTAGGCGCCTCAAACATCTTCAACGTCTCTCTTACCTCAATGTTGGCATCTACCCCTTCACCTCAATTTTCCTTGTTGTATACTGCTTCCTCCCTGCACTCTCCTTATTCTCTGGATATTTTATTGTCCAAACTCTAAGCATTGCCTTTTTGATCTACTTGCTCACCATCACCATATGCCTAGTCTTGCTGGCCATTTTGGAGGTTAAATGGTCTGGCGTAGAGTTAGAGCAATGGTGGAGGAACGAACAATTTTGGCTTATTTCTGGAACCAGTGCTCACTTGGCTGCAGTCGTGCAAGGACTCCTTAAGGTGATAGCAGGTATTGAGATTTCTTTTACTTTAACGTCCAAATCAGCAGGGGAAGACGAAGATGACATATATGCCGAATTGTATATAGTCAAGTGGAGCTCGTTGATGATTCCACCCATTGTTATTGCCATGGTGAACGTTATCGCCATTGTAGTGGCATTTGCTAGAACCATTTATAGTGCATCCCCACAGTGGAGTAAGTTCATCGGAGGAGGATTCTTCAGTTTTTGGGTGCTTGCCCATTTGTACCCATTTGCAAAAGGGTTGATGGGGAGGAGAGGGAAGACACCTACAATTGTTTTTGTTTGGTCAGGTCTCATTGCAATTACGCTTTCTTTGCTTTGGGTCGCTGTTAGCCCACCCAAGGGCGCCGAAGGACAAGGGATAGGAGGAGATTTTCAATTTCCATGAAATGCTAATGCATGGGTCGGTGCTTTTATTTTGTCTTATGCTATGTAATAATAATGTATCTTCATATACCCACATGCCTTGGGTACATATTCAGGAAAGCAAAATTAGTTCTAGAGCTCTTTGAAAAAGGTTACACTGATTAAAACAAAAAAAATACTGTGAATTAAGTTTTGCATAACTTATGTTCATACCATGAATAAGAAGTTATTGTGAGGTATATTCACACCATGTTGTCTAGGATAAGGAAAATTTTCTAAGTTAAAAATCATCTTGAGGGAAACTACGTTTCAATAAGTTTTGAGAGTTAAGAAAGAGACAAAAAATAAGCCTGAACATAAGAGAATATTGAAAGATTATCTAAGACTTTTAGTTTTAATTAAAAAGGACACATTTCGAACTATTTTAGGAGATTTTTGTCATATTGTTGATTTTCTCTAAAGCTGCTTGAAAGACAAGAAAATATTTTAAGTCCACCTAAATGAAATTGAGGAGTTTTTGAGAAAGTTTCAAAGTCCCTGACACTCAAAATTGATCGAAAAGCAGGACTAACAAGAAAATATTCTAAGTCCACAAAACTAAAGGCTTTCTCGAAAAGTTTTGAGGAGTTTTCAAGTCACTAAACCCAAAACTGCTCAAAAAATAGGACTGACAAGAAAATATTCTAAGTCTACAAAAAACTGATAGTCTTTTCGCGGAGTTTCCAAGTCCCTGATACTCCAGAAATTGCTCGAAAAGAGAATTCAAGAAGAAACTATTCTAAGGCCATAATACTAAATAAGTCTCTTAGGTTTCTCCCAGAAATACTCAAAAGATAGAAAAACAAGAATCTTGATAGGTCAAGTTATTACAAAATCCAAAAGCGGTTACTAGAAGTTATCAACATTCACCACTACGCAAAAGAGATCGTGAGCGATAGCGGTTACGAAAGAAGCCCTAACCAACAACACGATCACAAGTAATCGTGGATAATGGGCATCAACAGTTGAAGGTAGTTACTAAGAAGTGTCTGCAAAAGGAGAAGAACGGTGGTGATCTTCATATCTATAAAAACTCTAAAGCGCCATTTTACAGAGGATGACTTTTTGCACCCAGACACCGCACATAAAATTCTCTGCACGCTGAAACCCTACACCGCGCCTTACATCAGCTACAAGGAGACTCACGGTGGCCGCGGTCTGCTGTTGTGAGGAATCGTACATTTACATTCACGCACCTTTACATTCCTGCACATTTACTTTTCTGCATTTTAATTCCAGCTGGTTGCTTATTTCGTTTCTGCAATTTGTTTTCTATTTCACACTTTTCTGTAAAGAACTTCTACGTTTGATTCAATTCTTCACGTTTACTATTCCCTATTATTGCTTAATACTCTTTTTACGCTGATAATTTAAGTATCACGTTAACAACACACTTAAAAAAATTCAAAGAAGACCTAATTTAGTTCCCAAATTGTTTTTGGATTATTTGTTTATAAAACTATCATGTTTTTCACACACTGGATGTGTGGTGCATATACCTAGTAAGAAATAGGAAGAAAACAGATAAACATGAAGTATATTGAAAACAATTGCGTGGCACAACATAACAGTATTAGACGAATCATTCGGTGGGCCTTTTATATAAGTGCATCAAATGCACCGATTCTGAACCACAGGAAACTCACTCTAGTATATTTTGTATTATCGGTTGGACGAACCGTGTGTGTGATGAGGCAACGCAACGTTGTCTCTGCTCAGAAGAAAATGGCGTCTTCTTGGATGGAGAGGCTCCTAGAACGTGCTCGTCCCTTCCTTAGGGGTGAGTTTGAGTCGATTGACAAGAATTTACCGTCTCTGGTTGGCGTATTGCAGTCTGTGGGTGCGGGTGAGTGCTGGCACAAACATGGAAGCTTCCTTCATCACCTTATTGACGTTTATCGCATTCTCAACCTCTGGAAAGCCCCTCCCTCTGTCTCCCTCTGTGGCCTCTTCCACTCTGCTTACTCCAACTCTTATGTTAACCTCGCTATCTTCGACCCTTCAACTGGTCGTGAAGTCGTTCGCAAACACGTTGGTGACGAAGCTGAGGCTTTGATTCACTTGTTCTGCATCGTTCCCAGGCAGCCCCTGATTCACGAGGACCTTCTCTTTCACTACTCTGATGAGGAACTTGTCCAACACCTCGCTCAATCTCAGATATCTCTCGCCAACGCAAAGGAGAAGGGACTCTTCAACGGAGAAGAACCCTGGAGAAAGAAACTGCAGGCTCTTCTTCCCGCCGAGGGGATTCAAGTTAAGCACATTCGTACGGGTGAAGAGGTGCACGTTTCTAGAAGGATTGTGGGTATTTTTCTGATGATGACAATGGCGGATTTCTGCGACCAGTTGTTTGGTTTTCAGGATATGCTGTTCGATAACGTGAATGGCCGGCTTGAGTTTTCCGGGAACAGTTTTGGGGCTCTTTGGCCGGGAGATGGTAAGCCAGGACTGTGGTTGAGTTCGATTTCTAGGATGGGAGCATTGTACAGTTTGATTGTGAGAGAGGAAGAGATTTTCATTGAAGAGAAGAAGAGAGCGGGAAATGGTGAGTGTGATTGTGAGAGAAATGAAGATATTGAGTTGGTGTTGCCACCAGTGTTCAATAACTGCACAAAGGTTTTGGACGCAGGGGATCAAATAGTGGCAAGGGATTTGTACTGGGAAGCTGTTTGTGATGCTCCAGGGCTGGGAATGGAAAGGGCTGAAGAGTTACTCATAGGGTGTATCAACAAAAACCCATTTGTTGGAGAGCCATATGTTGTACTGAGTCAGGTTTACTTGACTAATGGGAGATTTGAGGAGGCTGAGAAGGAGGCAGAGAGAGGACTGACCCTTCTTCTGGAATGGGGATGTCCCTGGGACAAGAGGACTTCTTGGGAAGGGTGGATTGCATGGGCCAGGGTGTTGTTAATGAAAGCAAAGGAAAAATCATGGCCTCACACTTCGTGGGGCATCCTCAGTTTGGGTCTTGTACGGTAACTCTGCTTCATGCCTTGTCATCTTTACACTCGTATGGCAGCATCCCCAGATCATATAATCTTCCACCAAATAAGTCATACGCCTAAATCAGATATTATGGTCTTGTACTGTGCTTTTAGGAATATCAGAATCATACCATGTTTGATGCCGTTTCAAGTTTTTATACGTGGTTTGTATTCGTCTCATCATGTTCCATACATCTGTACTCAAAATAATTTTGTTTTTCAAGCTCTCCGACGCAATATTTTAATATACTTCTAACAAACACAATTTTTTCAACCTAATCTGAGTTTTACATGAAATCAATGATAGAAATCTCACATCGGTGGGTACTCATACTTTTGGACCCACTTTGGCTTATAAAAGGCCTAGGGGCTCTCCCTTAACATCATCCTATAATCCCAAATTTTTTCTCCCTCTCACTTTTATATTACAATGAGATTAAGATTTGGTAGTAATAGTTTCTTATATTGAGGAGTAAATTTTAGAGTGAGGAGTAGTGTAATTTTTCTTCTAAAAAATATTTTTATATTATTTTTATTTTTTTTTATAGCTCTTATTTTTATCTCTTATTTTAGTTGTGTTATTATACTAGTACTTTGGTTCTAACAGTGGTATCAGAGCTTCTAGGTTGTTTATATTATTTCGCTGTAGTGTACATTGGTATAGTGCTAGAGGAAATTCTTAGTATGCTCTGTGGTTGCAGTATTGTCTGATCTGTCACATCAGAAAAGAATTATTCTTGTTACTGGCATACAATTTGGTGGCATACAATTTGGTAGTAGTATAAAAGTGCATATTTAGTGTGTACTTATTTATAGTTTATCATTATTGTTTCAGTAGGTAGTACTATTCACAGTGAAAGTTACATAAGTCGATATAATTAAGAGAGAAATTATGGTAACAAAATATGAGATAGAGAAATTTTATTAGAGTAATTTCTCCTTGTGGAAATTAAAGATAAGAGCAATTCTGAAGAAAGACAATTGTCTTGATGCAATTGAAGGCAAACCTGCAGATATTTCAGAAGAAAAATGGAGAGAAATGGATAACAATGTTGTTGCCAATTTGCACTTAGCATTGGCTGATTCAGTGTTTCCAGTGTTGCAAAGAAGAAGACTGCAAAGGAGATTTGGGACACACTAATCAAGTTGTACGAGGTCAAGTCACTTCACACTAGAATATTCTTGAAGAGAAAACTCTACACTCTTCGAATGAGTGAGTACACATCAGTAACAGACCACATCAACAATCTGAATATGCTGTTTGCTCAGCTTACAGCCGAAGATTTCAACATAGTAGAAAATGAACGAGCGGAGCTTCTACTCCAAAGTTTACTAGATTCATACGATTAACTCATCATCAATATAACAAACAACAACATTATCGATCGTCTATCCTTTGATGATGTTGTTAGAGCAGTTCTTGAAGAAGAATTCAGGCGGAAGAATAAGGAAGATAGACTGGAAAATTCTAAACAAGCAGAAGCATTGACGATGATGAGAGGAAGATCAATGGAACGGGGTTCCAGTGGGAGTCAGAATCATGGTAGATCAAAATCTCAAAGAAGGAAGAATATCAAATGCTACAACTGTGACAAGAGAGGGCACGTGAAGAAAGATTGTTGGAACAAGAAGAGTGGAGGAGGGAAGAATACTGAAGCATCAACCTCTCAGGGTTGTGTTGCAAGTACCTCAAATGATGGTGAAATCTTATATAGTGAAGCAGTAATAAATTCTAGAGGTGGAAGACAACTCCATGAATGTTGGATATTGGATTCAGGTGCAACCTGACACATGACTCCATGTCAAGATTGGTTTTACAATTATGAACCTATCTCGGGAGGATCTGTGTTCATGGGAAATAATCATGCCTTAGAAATTGCTGGGATCGGTACTGTCAAATTGAAAATGCATGATGGTATTGTTCGTACAATTCAAGGAGTACGACATGTGAAGGGCTTGAAAAAGAATCTATTGTCTGTTGGACAATTGGATGACCTCAATTGTAAGATCCACATTGAATGTGGAATCTTGAAAGTGGTTAAAGGCAACTTGGTGGTGATGAAAGCAGAAAAAATCGCAACCAATTTATACATGCTTTTGAGAGATACGTTGCAAGAAGCAGATGTATCAGTTGCAATTAGTCAAGAAGAAGAAACAATGATGTGGCACTGTAGACTTGGTCATATGTCAGAACGAGGCTTGAAAATTCTAGCTGAACGTAATCTCTTGCCAGGGCTCAAAACAGTAACCTTACCATTTTGTGAGCACTGCGTGACAAGTAAGCAGCATGATTGAAGTTTGCCAAAGTGACTACAAGAAGTAGACACATACTGGACTTGATTCATTCTGATGTATGGGAATCACCGAAAGTATCTATTGGAGGAGCAAAATATTTTGTATCATTCATTGACGATCACTCAAGGAGATTGTGGGTGTACCCAATCAAGAAGAAGTCAGATGTGTTTCCAGTGTTCAAGGAATTTAAAACACTAATAGAACTTGAAATTGGGAAAAGAATTAAATGCTTAAGGACAGACAATAGAGGAGAATATGTAGATGGTGATTTTTTGGCATTCTACAAGCAAGAGGGTATTTCAAGGCAATTCACAGTGCCTTATACACCTCAGTAGTATTGTGTAGCAGAGCGGATGAACAAAACTCTTCTAGAAAGAACAAGGGCTATGCTAAGAATAACAGGAGTGGCTAAATCTTTTTGGGCAGAAACAGTGAAAACTGTCTGTTATGTGATAAACCGATCACCATCAACAACAATTGGTTTGAAGACACCAATGGAGGTATGGAATGGAAAGCCACCTAATTATTCTTCATTACATGTGTTTGGATGTCCTATGTACGTGATGTATAATTCCTAAGAAAGAACAAAACTGGATCCAAAATCCAGGAAATGTATATTCTTGGGTTATGCTGACAATGTTAAGGGGTATCGCTTGTGGGATCCCACTGCCTGCAAGGTTGTTATTAGCAGAGATGTAGTCTTTACAGAAAATGAACTGCAAAAGGAGCAGAAAAATGACAGTACTACCAAAGACACTACTTCAGTAGTGATAGAAAGGAAGTCTGAAAAAGATGACACCTCTGAAGCAGAACAAGAGCATGGAGAACAAGAACCAAATGATGCCAATAATGGAGAAACTCAACAAACAAGACGTGAGATAAAGAGACAATCTTGGCACTTAGACTATGTTATGACAAGCCATGATGCATATTGTCTTCTAAATGAAGAGGGTGAATCGTCAACCTTTTATGAGACTTTGAGGAGTTCAGATGCTTTATTATGGATGACAGCAATGTAGGAAGAAATTGAGGCCTTACATAAAAACAAGACATGGGAACTTGTTGAACTTCCAAAAGATCGAAAAGCCATTGGTTGCAAATGGGTCTACAAAATCAAACGAGATAGTAATGATCAAGTGGAGCGGGATCATGCAAGATTAGTGGTTAAAGGATATGCTCAGAAAGAAGGCATTGATTTCAACGAGATATTCTCTCCAGTAGTCCAATTAACCACAATTAGAATTGTTCTGGCAATGTGTGCTGCATTTGATTTACATCTTGAGCAACTTGATGTAAAAACTGCTTTTCTCCATGGAGAACTTGAAGAGAAAATATATATGCTCCAACCAGAAGGTTTTAAAGAACAAGGAAAAGAGAACTTAGTTTGCAGGTTGACCAAATCTCTTTACGGTCTAAAACAGACGCCGAGATGTTGGTACAAGAGATTTGATTCTTTCATTATTAGCCTTGGTTACAACAGACTAAAGGCAGACCATTGTACGTATTACAATAGGTTTGATAAAAATGATTTCATCAGTTTGTTGTTGTATGTGGATGACATGTTGGTGGTAGGCCCTAATAAAGATCAGATCCAAGAATTAAAGGCACAATTGGCTAGGGAGTTTGATATGAAAGATTTGGGATCAGCAAACAAGATTTTAGGGATGCAAATTCACCGAGACATAAAAGATAGGAAGATTTGGCTTTCTCAGAATAATTATTTACTGAAAGTCTTGCGGCGCTTTAACATGCAAGATTGTAAGCCAATTTCTACCCCACTTCCTGTCAATTACAAATTTTTCTCAAGTATGAAGCCTAGCAATGAAGCAGAGAGGATGGAAATGTCTCGAGTGCCGTATGCATCAGTAGTGGGAAGTCTTATGTATGCCATGATTTGTACTAGACCAGACATTGCATAAACAGTGGGAGCAGTCAGTAGGTTTATGGCAGATCCTGGTAGAGAGCATTGGAATATTGCAAAGAGGATCCTTAGATACATAAAAGGAACCTCTAATGTTGTATTATGTTTTGAAGGATCAGAATTTATTGTGAAAGGCTATGTTGATTCAGATTTTGTAGGAGATCTGGATAAAAAGAAATCTACTACTAGTTATGTGTTTACATTTGCTGAAGGGGCAGTAAGCTGGTTATCTAAGTTGCAGACTGTTGTGGCTTTGTCTACTACAGAAGTTGAATACATGGCAGCTATTGAGGCATGCAAGGAAGCAATCTGGATTCAAAGGCTATTGGAGAAATTTGGGCATAAACAGCAGATTACTACTGTGTATTGTGACAGTCAAAGTACTTTGCATATTGCAAAGAATCCAGCTTTTAATTCCAGAACAAAGCACATAGGTATATAATACCACTTTGTTCGTGAAGTAGTAGAGGAAGGTAGAGTGGATATGCAAAAGATTCATACCAAAAACAACATAGCAGACATAATGACAAAGCCAGTGAATAATGACAAGTTTACATGGTGTCGATCCTTGTATGGCCTATTAGGAATATAAGCAACATATAATTATAATGTATTAGGAATATGTGAAGATATGATTAACTTAATCATAATCTTCAAGTAGGAGAATGATAGAAGTCCTACATCGGTGGGTACTCATACTTTTGGACCCACTTTGGCTTATAAAAGGCCTAGGGGGCTCTCCCTTAACATCATCCCAAAATCCCAAATCTTCTCTCCCTCTCACTTTTGTATTACACTGAGATTTTGTACTTGGTAGTAATAGTCTCTTATATTGAAGAGTAAATTTTAGAGTGAAGAATGGTGTAATTTTTCTTCTAAAAAATATTTTTTTTATATTATTTTTATTATCTCCTTTTTATAGCTCTTATTTTTCATCTCTTATTTTAGTTGTATGTTATTATTCTGGTACTCTGGTCCTAACAATCAAGTTGATTCAAAACTAATTTTACATTCCCCTAACCAAACACATACTATGTCTTTATATGGTGATCCTAACAATCAAGTTGACTCAAAACCAATTTTACATGTACCTAACCAAACATATACTATGTCTTTATATGGTGGTTGATATTTTTATATAATGTATCCCGTGAAAAATAGTTTCATTGTTGTTGTTTCTTTAGTTATCTTTGTTTTCGGGTATATAGGATGGGCTACAGCCTTGGGGTTATTCAATAAGCACAAGATGATGAATTCAATTTAAAAAAAAAAAAAGTGCAACTTAAAAAGAATTTGGAATTAATGTGATTCAAAGGTAAATTCTCCGAGGATTATGATTCGTTTTATGAAAATGTTTAATTTTTTCTTGTAATTATAATTAAAGGTTAAAATAATATTTTTGTTCTTATATTTAATTTATATTTTTATATTACTTTTTACATGCAAAAAAATTATACATCAGTGTTTATATATGTATATTTATTTTTTATTTAATTTTTCTCATTATATTTAAACTAAATAATGTTAAATAAATTTGATTTAAATTATATTTTTTTCTCTTTACTTAGACTCGTATTTATAAATTGATCTTTACATGTTAAAAATTTATAAATACATATATTTATTTTTTTATTTAGTCTCTATTCTAAAAATACAATAACTAATGTTTCCATTACCAAGAATGCCTCTTATGTCATCATTGAAATCAAGTTAGAAAATTGTCATGAATTGCCTTGCAAAAGCCCAACTCTATTTTTTGAGCAACTCTCATCTTCATTATTTGAGTTACACTCTCCTAAATCTCATGGAACAATTTTTAGCAATTTTGGCATTTGAAACAGCAACTTCCGTGAGTACACATACATCATGTAATGAAATAATAAGCATGACATAAATTGTCATTGTCCAATGATAATTAATCAAAACCTTAGTTCTCTTATAAATTTGTATTTGTTGATTTTTTTCATGCTAAATCTAACTAGGAGCGAGTGGCATAAGACGACTCAAGCATCTACATAAGCAACAACTATGTGCTTAAAGATATAAGTGTAAGGGCGAGTGGCATAAAATGACTCAATGTCTTATAATAATTTCTAAAATATTTAAATAGTATTTTTATTCTTTATATCTAAGAAATTCATAAATTAATTTCTATATGTACATTTATTTTTTATTTAATTATTTTCTTATTTAATGTCGTTTAATTTAAATATAATAGTGGAGACTAAATCAAAAATAAATGTATATATAAGAATTTATTTATAAATTGTTAGTATAGAGACTAACTTACAGTTGTGAGTTTTAAATATAAGAGTAAAAATATCATTTAAATCTAAATTAAATTTAAGGTTTAGTAGTCTTGCATTTAAATTTTTTACAAAATTATGACTAATCTAAGTCATATTTCTCTAATATTTTTACCTTGTTTATTTCATTATTTCTTCTTATTTATTTATATGAAAGAAAATAATACCCCAATGCAGGAGTAGGATTTTCTATACTTTTTTTTTTTCTTAACTATCTTATAATTGTTTGCCTGTTCAGTTAAAAAAAAAATACTTTTAGATGCAAATTTTAAAAGTAGGGGAAGAAAAAATATGATCCTTTAATTTTTAACTTCATAAATCTTTTCAATTTTATTAAGACTTTATTTTAATATTTATTTTATGTAAAGATATATTACGATTTTGAACATGAAACCTAAGCTAGTTGTGTTGCTTCACACTCAGGAAAATTTTTGCAATTCCAATTGATTTACCTCTTAGAAGGTCTCAAAATCATTCTATTCATTTAATACATGGTGCTAGCCCTATTAAAGTGAGACAGATAACTCTATAATCAAAAGCAACAAATTAAGGTTATGATCCAAGATACGTTGAATGAAGGAATCATTGTCCCTAATACTTGTTCATTTTAAAATTAAGACTTGTTTCACAAAGCAAATAAGTTTAAGCAATAATAACATAGAATAATAATTAAAATATATCATTATAATTATTATCTACTTATAACGATAGAGAACCACTAATTACTTGTCAAAATTATTTGAAAATTGCAAAATAGCTAATGATCAACAAATCTGAACATTATCAATATCTAACAAAGTTTTAGGAAATTATTTGAGTTTAAATTTATACTTAGTTAAACTATACATTTCCTACAAAAAATATATGACAAGAAAAAATGGAAAGAATATTTCTGGAATCACAGAGAATGAGCTAAAGTATAAAAAAAAATGGACGACGAAAAAACAAAGAAAACGAAGAAAAAACAAAGAAAAAAAGTAGTGAGACGCAGCCTAAAATGGAAAAGTGATGATGCAAAGCGAGGATGCTTGGGTATGCTAGGGCGTAGGCTAAAGACATAATTGAGCATGTTCTCTGCTGACTTCTTGACAACAGCAGGCTTTTCCACAATATAAGATTCGGAAAACAAACTGAACAATAAAATTAAAAAAGATATATATGGCCATGCAATTGACAAATGACAGATAGTATAAACACGTTTAGATAATAATACCATAAATTAAATATGATACCCCATTCATTTTAATTTTTGCTTGATAGACTGCATCTGTGCATATTGATGAGCGCCACCGTAACCTTTTCTGCTGGTTTGTGACTTTTTCTGCATAATTCTGTAGTTCGAATATGCTATCTTGACTGTTGTATATTTCTGCTGGTTTGTGAATTTTTTTATTTTATTTTTTTCATAATTCGCTTAAACGATTCGGTTTTTACTTGAGGTTACCCTGCTTAAATAATTTGAACATTCGCCTAGGCAAATTGAATTTCACTTAAGCTAAACATAGGATTCTCAACCATTAATCTGTCTCAATTTTACTTAAGATTAATAATACTGTTTGAACTCACTAAGCAATAGCTTATGGCATTTTCGTCTCACATAGGCGAGCTTCAAATTCCGTCATGGGAATTCATGCTTAAATGCACTTAAGCGAATATTGACTGGATTGTTATGTTCATACCAAAACGGAAGAGAATCCGAATTCCTTTTAGATGCGTAACAATAGCTAACTTGGTCTGAGTCTTCTAACAAAAAGCCCACATAAAATAAGGGCGAAAAGAAATGGATTATAAGAGAAAGGAATATAAAGCATGATGTATAACCCAATAATAATTATAAATATGAAGTAGAAGGTATGAAGGAATTAGTCACCTGATTATAATTTTTTAATATCTTAAAACAAGGTTCCAATTATAAGGATAACTTTAAACTTCTAATATAGTAGTAAAATAAGATAGTTACCTTACCTCTCTCATATAAAAAATGTCATAAATTAAATGGAATCTGTTGATTCCATTGTCACCAGTACCCTTGGCATGAGCAGGATCCGTTTTTGAAATGATGGAAGCGACTTGAATCTCTTAGTATGATCTCATGCTCAATAATCTTAGATATGAAGGTAATGGCACTGTGGCAATCACCACAGATGCGTAAATTCTTGGTTATTCGAATAGGTGCTCCTGGAGATAATGTTAGGATGCCATAGGCAAGAGCCAACTTCTCACTATGTTCAGAGAGCATGTCACCTTTTTCTTCATCATCTACATCATGAAGAGCAAAACTTGTCTGAGGAACATACCCAATAGCTTTAATGCGTTGAATCAAGTCCGCAAGTTTGTCATATATTTGCGGAGATAGTGAGTGAGATCTATCTCCCACAAAGAAGGTTACAACGCCTTTCCTTCCTTGGATCCAGCTGCAACCGGGTCTTTTCTTGATTCCAGTATGTTTCATCAAATATCTAATCTTTGCCACATCTTTCCAGCGTTTGGCATTAGCATATATGTTTGAAAGCAATGTATATGACCCATCATTCCCGGACTCCAATTTGGTCAAGCGGTTCGCAGCAAATTCCCCAAGTTCCACATTCGAATGTGTCCGACAAGCACTAAGCAACGCCACCCACACTACTGGGGTCGGTTCCACGGGCATTCCATTAATAAGCTTCATAGCTTCATCTAAACGACCAGCACGACCCAAAAGATCAACCATGCAAGCATAATGCTCTGCTCCAGGATCCACCCCAAAATCCTTGCTCATTCTATAAAAGAAATCAATTCCATGATCCACCATTCCGGCATGACTACAAGCATAAAGCACAACAAGAAAGGTTATGCCATCAGGCACTAGAGGCACTTTCCTCATCTCATCAAAAACCCGGAGAGCATCTTCACCACGGCCATGCATGCCATAGCCTGTCATTAAAGACGTCCAAGAGACAGCATTTCTCTCTGGCATGTTGTCAAAAACAATTTGAGCTGTATCTACATCTCCAGATTTGGAATACATGTCTATGAGACAATTAGCCACAAATCGAACAATAGAATCATAATGATTGCGCAACACATAAGCATGAATTTGCCTACCAAACCTCAATGCTGCCAAACGAGCACAAGCCATAAGGGCACACGATATGGTAAAATCATTAGGCTTTATAGAGTTATCCATTTTGAACATTTCGGAGAAAAGTTGTAGGGCATGGTTGGCATCACCATGCTGGGCATATCCGCCAATCATTACAGTCCAGGTAACCACGTCCCTTTCTTTTGGAGATACTGAATCAAACATCATGCGAGCCACTTCTGTGCTTTGGCACTTAGCATACATGTCAATTAGACCATTAATCACCATCAGATCGTCATCCCCCGGATAGTGTCCATCTAAGTTGAGAATAAATTTGATGGCATGACAATGAGTTTCTTTCCCATGAAGCAAGGCTCCAACAGATGCACATGCTGAAAGTACAGAGATGAGAGTGACTACATTCGGGCGAGAACCACAGTTGCACATCTGCCTAAACACATCCAGAGCTTCACAACCTTGCCCTCTCTGCGCATACCCCGCTATAACAGCAGTCCATGTCACAACATCTAACTTAATGATTCCCTCCTGCATCTTCTCAATCAAAGAAAGAGCAAGTCCCAATCTGCCAGCTTGAGAATAGCCAGCGACCATGGCATTCCAAGAAACAACATCCTTAAACTTCATCCTCTGAAAAACCTTATTTGCTTCCTCCATCTTTCCACACTTAGCATACATATCCACCATAGCATTCCCCACGAAAACATCATCCACTAACCCACTTCTAATGGCAAAACCATGAACCTGCTTGCCATGCAATGAGGCAGAAAGGGAAGCACAAGCTGGAAGAATATTAACGAGGCTGACAACGTCTGGGGATATCCAATGCACGTTAGTCATTTTACGAAACAACGCAAGAGCAGTAGTGGCATCGGAAGCCCACATAGTAGCAGACACAACAGAATTCCAAGAAACCAAGTCCTGAATGCCTCTGCGACACAATTCATCAAACATGTTGTGTGCGTGAGGGAGAGCACCGCACTTCCCATACATGGCAACAACGGCATTACAAACGAATACATTGGAAGCAAACCCAGATCGAGAAATGGCAGCATGGAGGGAAGCACCGAGAGATAAAGAGGGAAGATCAGCACAAGCTTTGAAAACAAAAGGGAAGGTGTAATGGTCAGGGGTCCACCCAAGTGCTTTCATTCGACGGTAGAGAGTAAACACATCATGAGGGATTCCCAGATGAACGGCGCGCCTTATCAGTTGATTCCACCAGAAAACAGACGATTCGGATGGGGGAATCCGCTCTAGAAGCAAAATTGCAGTTGCAGTACAATTGCATGCTATGTATGTGCCTATGAGGTTGGTCATAAACTGGATAAGACCTTGCACGATGCTTTGCTGATGCAACACTTTTGCATGGGCTAAGGAATTGCATTCTTTCAAAATTGTAGGTGTGATTGTGATTGTGTCTGTGGCAGAAGCACTGGTACTAGACAAGAGGCGAGTATTGGTGTGCAGCAACAGCTTCGAGTTTATTGGAAGGTGGCGTAAGAGCATGCTAATTCTAATCTTGATCACACCACCACTGTCACGCAGCAGCTGGAGCCCATATACTTACACAACTTACTCCACCCACACCAGGTCATCTTCCACTTCTATCTTCTCAAGCTTCACTGTTCCATCTGAAAATAATAATAATAATGCAACTAATCAATATCTTTAATTGAATAAATGTATTTGATTTCTTAAAATAGATAAGACCGTTTTAATTTTTTTATAAGAATAGAAGAAAAATTACTAAATATAGTGTTTTAAAAATTTATAAAAATATAAAAAAAATATTTTTGAAAAATTATCAAAATTTTGACTTTTTAAATTTTTTTATATAGCTTTTAAATATTGTTATTAACAAATTTCTAGACTATTTAACTTTTCATTGTTCTATCTTTAAATTTATACTCTTGCATAAAAATTATCATATTTTTGTAATTTAAAAAAACCTAAAATTTACTGGAATTAATACTTTTGAAAAATTATAATATATAAACTAATTAATACTTTTAAAAAGTATCAATTACTCTTTGTGAATATCAACGAAACTACGAAACAATTTTTTGCTAGTAAAACTACGAATCAATTTTAGCTGAACATCGTGTGTGAACTTTTATAACAGACAAAAAAAATGAATTGTTTTTTATATAACATTTTAAAAATATATATGTCGTATTTATATTAAGAGAATAATTTTTTGTCATGATCAAAAAACTAAGTATGTAATTATCGATTAGCACATAAGCTAAATTACTTAAAACTAACGCTTAATCTTATAAGTGTATTTAAAAACTAACACATTAAACAACTTTTTTAAATAGATAATATGATGATTTTGCCAAAATTTTGTTAAAATTTTTTACAGTAATTTTGTCATTTCAAAATATAAAAACATATTTAAATGAATTTATAATTCAACCACAATAAATAGAATTCAATATTTTTATAATATTAATACTAAAATATCAATTACATAAGTAATATAATACCTAATTTTTTTAATGGTAACAAAAAGTTCAAATTATAACAAAAGTAAAAAGAAATAAAGCTATCTAACATTAGAGATCCATTAATGAATATTCTACTGTAATGAATTAAAGTTTCTAGAAATATGTAATTTTGTTATTTGATTATTAAAATAATAAACTAACATAAAGATGAATTGCATAGATTCAATATACTCAATGAAAGCAAAATAATCATAATAAACAAGAAAGTAAATAAATAATACATAAATAGTTTATAATTATAGAACTTAATATTAAAACATCATTTTTTAAAAATTATTCTAAATACTCTTTTAAAACTTTAGTCGATTACAAGTTATTAAATTTACATTAATAAATAAAAATATCATTTTAATCATAAGTACCATAATAAATTGTATATATAAAAATTAAATAAAAATAATTTCTTCAAACATTGTAAAAGTAAATGTCAATATAATATTATAATCATCACTTGGGAGAGAATCAAAGTCCAAGATAACTCTATTTTATGAATAATCTTATTTTTTTAAAGGTAATTTCTTTTTTAAGGATAACTTTATTTATTAAATCGTCGTTTTCTTACGTACATTATATCGAGATTAATCTTAACGGAGCAACTCCACCTTATCAATAACCTTTTTTATGCATTGTTAGCTCCACTTAATGAATAGTTTTCTAATCTTAGAGTATAGTTAAACATATCATAGTTACATAGTTCTAATATAGCTTCTCTCAAAAGTATTTATGTTATAGAAAGTCATTCTCATGCACATACTAAATTTATTTTCAACAATAAAAATCTCGATGTATACATCTTGTAATTAAATATCATTAAATAGAACTAAAATAGTTACTTCACACTTTACAAATTACATATCACAATAATTTTTTATATGATCAAGAAATAATTTTAAGACTTCTTTTCTCAAATAAATAATTTGTAAACAATAATACGTGATAAATAATATAAATTATAATTATAAAAATATATCTATTAGAATATATAAATCATTCTTTATTTAGCACATGTATTTTTTATGAATATATTTTGGTGATTTGATAAACGATCTTTTAGCCTAAATTATAGCGTGATTTCTTTGTATATGTGATACATCATATGGAATGAGAATGTCACAAACCAATTCTTTCATGGTATCAGCAGCTTTAGGTTTGGAACCCTCTTCCTCCTCTCACCCTAGTTGCTACTTTTTCCCATATTTGTTCCATCGTCGTGTCTTTAGACCCACCCAAATCTCCCCCTTCTTCTCTTCCCTATCCCGCTCTTGTGGTATCCAACATCAACAGTTTCATCCCACAAAATCCATCCTAGGGCTTACCAAGTCCTCGACCACATCTTCCTTCATCCCACAAAAAGGAAAAAGTGGTTTCCTCTCTCAAAACAACCGATCTAGAATTATGGTCTCGTGTCGACGCCGTGGTCTTGCAATGGATGGCACAATATATAAAGATTTGCTTCACACCATTCTTGAATGGATTCAACTACCACCTCTGCCTGAAATCGGTTGATCGACATCTTCTCTGACAATAAGAATTCTAGGGCTTTTTAATTAGAGCAAGATTTTTCCAATGTTAATATGGTACATTTTGATTATGTATCCTCCTATTGTCAATATCTCAAATCCCTTGTTGATCAATTATCTAATATCGGCTCGCCCGTTTCCAATGATTGGTTAGTTCTTCAACTTGTTGTCAATTTAACTAAAGCTTATGCTTTAGTTGGTTCTCAAATCCTTCCTCCCTTCTACAAAGCCCGTTCTATGCTTTTTTTTGGAGGAAATGGCAAGGGAAAAAAAGATTGTTAATCCCCCAGAAACTTTTGCCTTCATAGTTACTAACGCAAAAAATACAAGTGGTACCATTCATCATTGCCAAACCTCCGCAAAAAACAATAGTTGTGGTGGCAAGGGTGGTGGTGGCAGTAATCACCGTGGCAAAGGAAAAGGAAAGGGAGGTGGTCATACTGGTAGTGGTAGTTCACATCACTAACAACAGTAGCACATATGGCAAAGAGCACCTCCACCATATTTCCCACAATAGTCGTGGCTTTACTCTCCTCCTTGGGTTGGACCATTGCAACCATGGGCCACTCCCCCATGTCTATACCCCACCACAAGTCATTGGCAAAGGCAGAGTACTTCTACCCGGCCACCTAGCTTCCTTGGGCCTCGACCTCAGCAAGCCCACATGGCTTTGGCACCTTTTGCTGTTCCAAGTAATATTAATCCTACAATGCATACCTTATCTCTTACTCCACCGGATGACCAATGGTATATGGATATCGGGGCCGCATCGCATATGACCACCAACAAAGGTAATCTCGCGTCTTATTTAAATATGAGCACAAATCATAATATTATTGTTGGTAGTGGCCATACTATTCCAATTCTTGGTTGTGGACATGCATTGTTACCCTTCCCCATCCTTCGTTATCTTTAAATAATGTTTTACATGCACCCCAAGCTTATTAAAAATCTTCTCTCTGTGAGAAAATTTACTGTTGACAATGATGTCTTTGTTGAATTTGACCCCTTTGAGTTTTCTGTGAAGGATTTTCAAACTGGGATGCATTTAATAAGATGTAATAGTCTAAGTGACCTATATCCACTTACCACAAGGTCCACCATTGGCACATCCAGTACCCCATCCACTTTTGCAATTTTATCTCCTGAATTATAGTAGAGTTGCTTAAGACATTCGGGAGCTAATGTTTTAAGCTTTCTTCGTCAAAACAATTTTATTGATTGCAATAAGTTTTGGGATGATTTTTTTGTCCATCTTGTCCTCTTGAAAAGCAAGTTAAATTACCTTTTTATGATTTTGTGTCATACACTACTTTGCCATTTGACATTGTGCATAGTGATCTTTGGTCTTCACCTACTCTTAGCTCTGGTGGGCATCACTTTTATGTTTCGTTTCTTGATGATTATACGAATTTTTTATGGACTTTTACTATTGCCACAGAATCTTAAGTCTATTCCATTTTCTTATTGATAAATCCATATTTTACTAGTATTTTAGCTTAGTTTTTAGTAGTTAATAAGTAGTAAAGTGATTAATAAAACTGAAAATCTCATAAAAAAATTTCATTTATGTTTAAAGTCTTTTAAATAGTTTAATGTTTTAGATTTGATCTCAATTTTAATATAAGTCTGCTAAATAGATTGAATTTGTGTAGAAAATCTGAACCGGAAGTTATGAGGTTGAGAATTAAATGAAGAAAGTGGAAGAATTGGACTTAAAAGAGTGAAGAATCAATTAATGTAGTTTGAAAGTTATCACTCTAGGCATATAAAGTGACATCTCTGGAGTGTTTTTAGCAACAATGTAGTGCAAGTGAACACTTCAGAGATGAAAATTCAAGAAGACCTTGCGCATTAACACTTTGAGTGTTCAAAGTGAACACTCCAACAACAAAAATACAAGGAAGTTGCGCGTTAACACTTCAAGTGCTCAGAGTTATCACGCACAAGCTTAATTCTTCATAAAGGTATGTGCATTAACACTTCAAACGCTCAAAGTTAATATGCACACCATAAACAGCTGAACGTTACCACTTTCAGCATTCGAAGTGTTCACTTCAGAGAGTATAACACCTTAATTTAATTTTTCAAATAAATAAATTTTACAAAAGTTGGGAATAATAAAAAAATTTATTCAAACAGTTCCTAATACATGGTTCACTAAAGTGTTACAAAAAAAGAATGGATTACAATTTATATCAAGTCATTACTATAAGACTAGTTCAATTACATCAGAGTTTTCAAAGAAAATAATTTTCTAAGCCCTATAGCAGTTTCATCCATCCTTTCACTAAGTTTGGTGCTGATTGTCTTGGTCACCTGAAAAATAAATGTAAGGATAAGTACTCTACACTATCACACACATAAACAAGTATAAAGTCTCACCTTGCCCATTCCACACACTTTCTCACATATTTTAAATCATGCATCAACAAGTACAAGGCATTAATTCCATCATTTCATTCTCAATCACAAACAGGTGCGCTCACTGCACCATCAAACATTCATCATACGGCACCCACGTGTGCTAACTGCACGCTAGACACGCTCACTGTGGCACTGTAATCACAGATTCTTGATGCCCTTAACCTCAGGGACTTACTCAGTTAACACCAT